TTTACATAAACTTTCACGTATAACTATAGTTACATAGTTAGTCTGGCTGAAAAAGAAAAGTCCATCTAGTTCAGCCATAAAAAAAAAACAAAAAAAAAACAAACAAAACAACACACCTTATAATCCTATACCCACCATTGATCCAGAAGAAGGCAAAAAAAAACCCCAAAGCATGATCCAATTTCTCCTGCAGGGAAAAAATTTCCTTCCTGATCCCCCAAGGGACAATCAGATATTCCCTGGATCAACTTTACCTATAAAATGTTAGTATCCAGTTATATTCTGTGCATCTAGGAAAGAATCCAGGGCTTTTTTAAAGCAATCCACTGAGCTGGGCAGAACCAACTCTTGAGGAAGTCTATTCCACATTTTCACAGCTCTTGCTGTGAAGAAACCTTTCAGTATTTAGATATTAAATCTCTTTTCCTCCAGACATAAAGAGTGCCCCCTTGTCCTCGGCGATGACCTCAGGGTGAATAGCTCTACACTGAGTTCACTATATGAACCACTGATGTATTTTTTATGGTACATGTTGATCATGGAGATATCCCCCCTTATGTATTATACATGTTGATCATATCCCCCCCTTAATCTCCTCTTCTCAAGAGAGAATAAATTCAGTTCCTCTAATCTTTCCTCAGAGCTGAGCTCCTCCATGCCTCGTATCAGTTTGGTTGCCCTTCTCTGTACTTTCTCCAGTTCCCCAATGTTCTTTTTGTGAATTGGTGCCCAAAACTGAACTGCATATTCCAGATGAGGTCTTACTAATGATTTGTACCGGGGTAATATGATATCTCTCTCTGGAGTCTATACCTCTTAATACAAGAGAGGATTTTGCTCACTTTAGAACCCGCAGCTTGGCATTGCATGCCATTATTAAGCTTGTGATCTACCAGAACCCCCAGATCCTTCACCATTGATTCCCCCAGTTGTACCCCCCCCCCCCAGTATGTATGATGCATGCATATTCTTAGCCCCCAAGTGCATAACCTTACATTTATCAACATTAAACCTCATTTGCCACATAGTTGCCCAATTACACAGTGCATTGAGGTCGGCTTGTAAGTTGGAGACATCCTGTAAGGACGTTATTCCACTGCACAGCTTGGTGTCATCTGCAAAGACTGATATGGGATTTATAATCTCAGACCCTATATTGTTTATAAATATATTAAAAAGTAAGGGTCCCAACACTGAACCTTGGGGTACACCACTGATGACCCTAGAACATTCAGAGTATGAATAACCACTAATCTCTGAATACGATCTTTTAGCCAGTTTTCTATCGATTTACATACAAATTTTTCCAAGCCTGTAGACTTTACCTTACACATTAGCCATGTGTGGGGAACTGTGCCAAACGCTTTTGCAAAATCCAAGTATACCACGTCCACTGCCACCCCTCTGTCCAAGTATACCACGTCCACCGCCACCCCTCTGTCCAAGAATACCACGTCCACCGCCAAAATATTTTTTTCCAGCAAGAACTCATCTATGTGATCTTTTATTAAACTCTCCAGTATCTTCCCAACTATATAAACTAACAGGTCTATAATTACTTGGTAAATGACCCCTTTTTAAATATTGACCCCACATTTTCCAGTGGTACTATGCCAGTCATTAAAGAGTCCTAAAAATGAAACACTGGTTTTGAAATGAGGCAAAACGTTTTTAGTTTTGGATAGGTGGAGAGAGGTTAGAACTCCTGTCAAGCTTTTATTGTTGTCTGGGCCCCCGTTAGGGAGATTCACCTTCTCTATTTGTCCTGTTTACCATGATCATTGAAAGTAAAAGAAAATTAAAAATTTTGGGTTGTCCCCAGAACGGGACTAATCTACCAAAAGACAGGGACACTAGTGGCACCAGGGATTCCCTCAGCTTGGAGGTATTTTCCTCATTTCCTCTTGTAGCTAAGGAACAGGAAGTGAAGGGAAATATCCCCAATGGGACACAGATGGCAAGAAAAAAAAAAAAAAAAAAAACTGATAAAGGATCATAACCCTCCCTTACTCTATCCAAAAATTAAAAAAAAAAAGTTTTGCTTTTAGTTCCACGTTAAGGCCTCATGCACATGGATGATAAAGGTTTAAAAATGTGGCTAGTGTAAACATCCAGCATTTTCCACAACAGGGATGCTGCAGGTGGCATTTACAGCTGGCCATAGAAGTCAATGGCAGTAGGTTCATTAAGTAGATCCTACATGTATGGGGGAATACGTTGTATGCACATCTAAGCAGATGCATAAAAGCATTAGTGTTTTAGTATGGCCAGGTACAGCGTACATTTCTCTGGCCTTTGGTACGCTCCACCTGCGGCGTCCTGGGAGCTGAAATAGGCAGAGAGTTTAAGCTGATTTTTTTTTTAAGCCTCACAATGTGCTATTCACTTTCTACCACTTGCATTTGCACTTTAAAAATGGAATATATACAGAAAGAAACCGTAGCTATTACATTAGGAAGAGAAACGCAGGTTGAGAAAAAGCTGTCCCAGTGACATTTGTTTCTGCATGAACTGCTCACAGTCTTCTTCCTGCAGATGGAACAGCCGAGAACAGAACTTCCTCTATCGGTTTCTAGGCTACCAAACGACCATACAATATACACTGCACATATATCAGCAGAATACTCAAAAACACAGAAATGGAAGATTTCAGGAGTCCCAGTATAGCCAGCAGACACACAGACTGCCCCAGAACATGTTTAAACTGGTTTATTAATGGACATTGTCATTCTGTGAAGAAATGTACAAATGTAGGCAAGGCAACAAGACATTGACGGTTTATACCTCCCACTCAACAAGGAACGCTCGTTGTTTCAGGTCAGACAATGATATTGCCTACGTACCCACATACACCGATTCCCTGTAAGTCAGAAGAGAGTAGGACAAGATAATAAATGTTTTACTGCAACTGAACACAAATTACCATTTCCAGAAGTGAAAACCTCAGTCTGACATCAGCTCCGTACAAACCTACCAAGGAAGTGTCCGAAGCATAGAAACCAGATCAGGTTCTTCCTTCACCTCAAGTCTCTCAAAGTATGTGAAGATGGCTGTATACGGCATAACGCACCATGGATTATCTAAATCTCATTGACCGCTATGCAATTATTCCCCTTAACGTAGAATCTACAAAGAGATAAATATGAGGTCTGCCACTGAGGACTTCCTATCTAAATACCGGGCCAAGTCTGACATTTCTCTCATACATGAAAATATCTGCATTTTGTTTGCTAGAAAATTACTTAGAACCCCAAACATGATTTATTTTTCTAAGAAGAGGCCCTAGAGAATAAAATGGTGGGTGTTGCAACTTATGTCACACAGTATTTGCGCAGTGGTTTCTCAAACACAAGTTTTTTGGGGAGAAAAAATACACATGAATGCATTTTAATGCACAAAAACAACCAATATAATATATATTTTGTGCAATATAAAAGGAGGATGTTACGCTGAGTTTTTACTCAAACAAGTCATGCTTTAAAAAAGGTGTACAGCCATGGAAGGGTGACAAATTAAGGTACCTAAAAATCTCCATATACGACACTTTCTAGGTCTTCACAGGATACCAGGTTAGAGTTACACAGGAGATCTGGTGCTCTGACATTTAGGGCAATACCTCACATGTGGTGCAATCACCGTTTACATACGACTACAGGAATTACATATGCATTCACATTTGTGTGTGAGCACGGGAGCACAGGGGCGCTTTTAAAAAAAAAAAAAAATCTGTTTATTAATTTACATATCTCTCCTCAGGCCCCCCAAAGCATCTGATCAAACAAAGATCAATTTGATCAAATGCTTGTAGTAGCCGGTATCGGCCAATAAAAGACCAAAACCAGAAGTAATAAGGTCCTCGTTGCTTCTGGTTTCTGATCTCACAAAGACGGAGGAACGCAAGATCTTCTCTCTTCAGGATCTCCAACCCATTCCACTGCCTATAGATGTGATTGAGTACCTGTATAGCCACTCTAATCACTTCTACAGTAAAGAGCTTTGCCAGCTGATAATATTGATAATATTGATATGGGGATGTTGCCTAAAAGCCCAGGACGTCATATGACTTACGGGTGGTAAGTGTTTAAAGAGGCGCTGGAAACATTTAGAATTACAAGTGTAATTAGATGAAGGAATACTTCAAACAAGCTAAATAGCTCTGGTGGCTCCCACACGGCAAGGCTTCCCTTGATGGGGATTCAACACCCCCCCCCCCCCCCCAGCAGCACAGCGTTTAAGCGGTTAGCACTTATACCTGACAGCACTAAGGATGTTGGTTTGAATACCATCCAGGGCACTACCTGGCTGGAGTTTGCATGTTCTCCCTGTGATTGCACGAGTTTCCTCCGGTTTCTTCCCACACTCCAAAGACAATTGGCTCCTGTTTAAATTGGCCCATAGTAAGTGTGTATGAATGTGAGCAAGGGACCTTGGACTGTACACTCCTTGAGTGTTAGAGACTGATGTGATTATATATATATATATATATATATATATATATATATATATATATATATACACACACACACACACATACATACACCTGCAATAAATATGAAATAATACAGAAGGGAGCCACAGATCAAAATGGGTTAAAGGAGTCAAAGGTTGTTGATAAAGTCATATGAAAACAGCCAGCACATTTTGAGGGCAACACCCCTCCCTGTCATTACTTTACTTCATCACCTCTTCACTTTATTGCTGTTCATCAACCACTGTCAGGTTGAGCTCAATAATGCTTCTAATAGATCTATGAAGTCACTGGTTTCTCTGAGTCCATCCAAGTTTTATCCTGTGTTGAGCCCTAATGAAGGGGGAGGGGTGCTGCCCTCCGAAACGAATTGGCTGTTTTTTTATATAACTTGAATTAACCGCCTCCCACCCGGGAGGACGTTATATGACATCCTCCCACTCTAACCGCGCGTGCGCGGCTCCGGGAGCGCACGGCGATCGGTGGTGACCTGTGTCCCTCGGACACAGCGGATCACCGATCAACAGAAAGAGCCCAAGATGTCGGCTTGGTCATATGATCTGCTGTGTCCAATCACAGCTGATCGCATGTAAATAGGGAAATGCCGGTTATCTGCATTTCTCTCCACTCGAGCTGTCACGCTGACAGCTCGAGAGGAGACATGTACACTGATCATCAGGGCACTGATGATCAGTGTGCCCTGATGATCAGTGTAGCCCTAGCAGTGCCACCTGCCAGTGCCCATCAGTGCACATCAATGCCACATATCAGTGCCCATCTGAGATGCTTTTCAGTGTCACCTATCAGTGCCACCTATCAATGCCAGTCAGTGCCACCTATCAGTGCTGCCAATCAGTACCGCCTATCAGTGCCATATATAAGTGCTGCCTTTCAGTACCCATCAGTGATGCCTGTCAATCAGTACCACCTACCAGTGCCTCCTCATCAGGGTCCATCACTGCAGCCTCATTAGCACACATCAGTGAAGGAGAAAAATCACTTATTTACAAAAAAGTTTAAAACAAAAAGAAAAAAAACACTTTTTTTTTTCAAAAATGTTAGTTGTTTTTGGTTTGTTTAGCAAAAAATAAAAAACCCAGAGGTAATACGACCAAAAGAAAGCGCTGTCTGTCTAAAAAAAAAAAATGATAAAAAGTTCATATGGGTACAGTGTTGCATGACCGCGCAATTGTCAAAGTGTGACAGCGCTGAAGGCTGAAAATTGGCCTGGGCAGGAAGGGGGTATAAGTGCCCTGTAGGCAAGTGGTTAAAATAATCTTGGACTTCATCAGGTTTTTTCTGGCGCTCATTTCTGTATATAATTTTATGCTCGTCTATGATGTCTACTTTGCTCTAGAAAACGTAGGCAGATCAGGTGGTAAGTACTTTTAAAATGCAAAGAAAAAAAAAGTGTACCAACCTAACGGAATACTGTAGTAAAACTGAACCAAAACAAAAAGTCTTAGCAGCAGCTGTGCAGAAAGGATGGCAGTGGGAACTCTTCTGCATCACAGCCAGCAGTTGATATTCATGATGATAATGGCTCAACCCATCAATCAGAATGTCATTTAAAAATATCAGCTATTTTGCTTGCCAACTTGTTGAGAACTCTTGTTCTGCATGCCTGTTCCAGGTCAGTGCCTTGGAAAGTAATGAAGTCACTGAAGAATTTCTTTCAGATAAAACGTAAAGGCTCAAACTATAAGATTTGTAATTACAGGTGTGTGCAATTTATATCACGACACCCTGGACATATTGGTTAGGGCAGGCGTTTTTTTTTTTTAGGGGGCAAGCGGCAGGTTCCCTTTTTTTTGGCCTCCGCGTGCCCCCTCCCCCTCATGTATCCCAGGCTCCACTTGCCGATCTGCAGGCCCAGGAACAGTATAGCGAGTGGCGAGGGGGGGGGGGGGGGGGGGGGGAAGAGTTGAGTGGACACGTCCACTTTCCTCCCCTTCTTGTCCTGACCTGGAAATTATGTGTATGGCCTCACTTCTGGGTCCCCTTTGACAGATTTCCCGGCCATCAATGAATGTGATGCAATGCGATCTGCACTGCATTACATTCAGAGGAGCCCAGAGGAGACATCCAGAGTCTTGTAGACCCCAGTGGTCTCAATAAAGAGAATCTGTCACCAAAAAAATAATCACAGAAGACTTTTTGTGATGTGTGGTAAAATTAAAAAAAAAAAAAAAAAAAAAAAAAAAAAGGTAGAAAAAAAAAAAGGTAGAAAAAAAAAGTATTTTTTTCTTTAAATTGTAAAAAATTAAAGTTACACCCAAGGACATTAACCCCCCCCCCGCCAAAAACTGAGCCCCCTCCCCCATATATACGCACGCAAGAAAGTAAATTTATTTAGTGATGTAATATAGTAATAGTATGTAATTTATTTATTTCAGGTACTTATATGCACACATCAGGGCGCCTACACATGAAAACAAAGTTACATATCGCCGCGCATGCCAGAATGAGAACAATAATTCTAGCACCAGAACTCCTCCATAACACTAAACTGATGACCTATAGGGGCCTTTAAAAGTGTTCCCTTTAAAAAATATGGGGTATAATGTTTGTCGCCATTTCATGAGCGCACACAAATTTAAGATTTGACATGGTTGGTATCTACTTACTCTGTGCAGCCTCACCTTTTATATTTTACAAAAAAAAAAAAAAAGATACATTTATTGCCTTTTTGTGGCCTGAAATTACCTTAAGTGTTTTTTTTATCGTGTAACATAAAAAAAATTGGAACTACCAATATCCTATTCTCTATGGTATCGGTTTTCAGAAAATATATACTATTTGGGGGGTTTTGTGTAAACTTCAGGCCTAAAATTATTTTTTAATTGTGAACATTTGATCAACATGTATAAATACATCAGTGGTTCATATAGTGAACTCGGTGTAGCGCTATTCACCCTGAGGTCATCACAGAGGACAAGGGAGCGTCTGGAGGAAAAGAAATGTAATCAAGAAATAATGGAAAGGTTTCTTCACAGTGAGAGCTGTGAAAATGTGGAATAGACTCCCTCAAGAGTTGGTTCTGGCCAGCTCAGTGGAATGCTTTAAAAAAAAGGCCTGGATTCTTTCTTAGATACACAGAATATAACTGGATACTAACATTTATAGGTAAAGTTGATCCAGGGAATGTCCGATTGCCTCTCGGTGGATCAGGAAGGAATTATAACTTTTTTTTTTTTTATGGTTAAACAGGATGGACGTTTGTTTTTTTCAGCCAGACTAACAATGTAACTATGTAAAAAATGTGAAAAGGGCTCTTGCAGTGAAAGGGATAAAGGATAAGTTCACCTTCAGGAATATGTTGCATGTTCCACTGTTTTTAGGGTGGAACGTGTAACATATTCCCGTTCCTGCAATGGCTAGGGGATCCTATCCCTCTGTGACAGCAGTAGGGGCAGATGTTCCCTGTACCAGCTGTCACTTTTTGGAAAGAGTATGGCTGTACAAAGCATCGCCCACATGGCCACATCATCTATTCACAGAGTTCTATGAGTACCGACAGCCTTAGCGGATGTCAGCTTGTACTTCTCAATGAACTACCATGGCACTGATGAGTGCTCTGGTAGTTCATTGATTCCTCCTTGTCAGTGTGAAACTGCCTGTCCATACAATGCAAGATGTACGAAGTATGACGTAAGGAGAGACAGATTACACTGACAGTCTGCTGGAGTCTTGCATGGAATCAGCGATCAGCAGCTCAATGCTTTACAGTAGGCTCCTAAAATAAATTAGCATTTTTTTTCTGGCAAAAAATAAGCATTAATTTTTTTTTTTTTTTAAAGATGAACTTATCCTTCAACAGAGTGGACACCGAAGCTTGATTTGGCTGCTCAGCAGGGGCCAGTACTGAGCACCGTATGCAAGCTTAACCTGAAGGAATAACGTTTTTGTATTCTCATTGAGGTCAGAGCCTTATTTACTCGCTCAGCAGATGCGCTTCTGCTGAGTGTTGAGAGCCTGTACTCCCCTTTTCTGACACTGCAAGGTCTCTCCCCTCCCTGCTGGTCCCTGGGTGTGGTGCTGGATACAGGCAGGGAGATGAGGAGGAGATAAACAGCGCAATGTCAAAAATATTAAAAGTTTAAGTTGTAAAGCCTCATTTTTTAAAGCCCCAGACATTCCGAAAAGCACCTCAGATTTAAATACACCTTTGTGTTAGATTTTTTATTTTTTTTAAATCAGTAGAAGTATATTGTCTTGAAGGACAAGTAGACTGGGACTTTGATTTGGTCCCTGGACAAGTAGTTTTCTAAAAAAAATTCCACACCCCCTAGTACAGCGGTTCTCAACCTGGGGGTCGCGACCCCTTTGGGGGTCGAACGACCATTTCCCAGGGGTCGCCTAAGACCATCGGAAAACACATATTTCCGATGGTCTTAGGAACCGAGACACCGCTCCTCTCTCCGGCGATGTGTGGGCGGGATGATACGCTGCTCCTGTCACCTGGCCACACCTCCGGGATCGCTCAGCAGCTCCGCCTCCTCGCCGCTGATTGGCCACCGGAACTGTAGCTCAGGAGAGGCACACAGGCGGCCAATCACCGGCGCGAGGAGGTGGAGCTTGGAGAGGAGGAGCCGAGCGGCAGCGCGCGTACATCAAAGAAGATCGAGGGAGCTGCCGGAGCGAGTGAAGAGGAGAGCGGCCAGAGAAGGAAGACAGCTGACAGGTAAGTGAGAGAGCGAGCCCAGGCTGTCACTAATACCAACGATGGGGCGCTATTCCTCCCCCCACTGACACCAACGATGGGGCGCTATTCCTCCCCCCACTGACACCAACGATGGGGCGCTATTCCTCCCCCCACTGACACCAACGATGGGGCGCTATTCCTCCCCCCACTGACACCAACGATGGGGCGCTATTCCTCCCCCCACTGACACCAACGATGGGGCGCTATTCCTCCCCCCACTGACACCAACGATGGGGCGCTATTCCTCCCCCCACTGACACCAACGATGGGGCGCTATTCTCCCCTCCACCACACTGACATCAATGATGGGGCACTATTCCTCCCACTGACACCAACGATGGGGCACTATTCCTCCCCCCACTGACACCAACGATGGGACACTATTTCTCCCCTCCACCACACTGACACCAACGATGGGGCACTACTCCCCACACTGACACCAACGATGGGGCACTACTCCCCCCACTGACACCAGTGATGAAGCACTACTCCCCCCACTGACACCAGTGATGGGGCACTACTCCCCCCACTGACACCAGTGATGGGGCACTACTCCCCCCACTGACACCAGTGATGGGGCACTACTCCCCCCACTGACACCAGTGATGGGGCACTACTCCCCCACTGACACCAGTGATGGGGCACTACTCCCCCCACTGACACCAGTGATGGGGCACTACTCCCCCCACTGACACCAGTGATGGGGCACTACTCCCCCCACTGACACCAGTGATGGGGCACTACTCCCCCCACTGACACCAGTGATGGGGCACTACTCCCCCCACTGACACCAGTGATGGGGCACTACTCCCCCCACTGACACCAGTGATGGGGCACTACTCCCCCCACTGACACCAGTGTGGGGCACTACTACTCCCCCCACTGACACCAGTGATGGGGCACTACTCCCCCCACTGACACCAGTGATGGGGCACTACTCCCCCCACTGACACCAGTGATGGGGCACTACTCCCCCCACTGACACCAGTGATGGGGCACTACTCCCCCCACTGACACCAGTGATGGGGCACTACTCCCCCCACTGACACCAGTGATGGGGCACTACTCCCCCCACTGACACCAGTGATGGGGCACTACTCCCCCCACT